CACACACACACACCACAGAGAGAGAAGGGGGGAGGCTTTTTTGAAAATTATATATTTACCCTATATAAAGGACGTGGGGTTGGGTATTCTTGTGTGTTTCTTGAATTGCTGGAAGGTGCACTGGCCTTGTGCTCTTAGCTGTTTTGTTGCCCTAACGGGAAATCTCACAACTAAGCAATAGCATCTGGATTTCTTAAAGAAAAACTACTGAAATGTTTAGCGTTGTTTGATGCCTTGCTCGGCAATGGTGTGTATAGGGTGCAGGAAGAGAGGTGACCACTTCCATCACACTGGTGGACTCCCTAAATTGGCCAAATCAATGGCTTTATTCTTTACCTAACAGCTTGTATGAGAAGGTTTTCATCTCAGGAGGGATCTGTTGATGTTTTTTTATATATACTGTACAAAGCTAGAAAGAATCCGTCAAGGAATCCATTGAGTGCAACAGAAGCCTGTGGACAACTACAGACTCATCTGCCTTTCCTGGGCTGATCTTCTCCATTCCATCCGCTCACCCATACATCTAGCAGTTCTGCACCCTTCTCCCAACAAATAATAAGGATAAGGCCACTTCAACCAGTTATACGTTTTTCTCAGGATCCAAAACCAACTGAACTGAATAGTCCATTTCGAACCCGTTGTTTGTATTCAGGGTAATGACTCTCTGAGGAAATGATTGCTCCGTCTGGAATCATCTTGTATTCACACAAACACAGATGCACAGTGGATCAGAGCAAGTGTTATTTACTGATTCATCTGTGTTATTTATACCTTGTCTTTCTCCTACTTGTGAGAAGATCACTCAGTGGTTTAAGTATTTGGCTGCGGAGTTGGAGGCTCGGAGTTGGACTCCTCACTGTGCCTCCATCACCAAGGCTGGACGTCATGATCCATAGGGTCCCTTTCAGCTCTGCAGTTTCAAGATTATTATTGAACTGCTGGATAGTTCAGTGGTTTTGGTATCTGGCAACAGAGCCAGAGGTTGGGAGTTCAATTCCCCCTCTGTGTCTCCATGACAGAGGCTGGACTCAATGATACATAGAGTGTCTTCCAGCTCTGAAGTTATAAGATTATTTTACAGATGCACTTGAAGTCAGACACAGTATTTTAGGCATAGGTGTTAAACAAACCAAAGCAAGGCTTCCCAAAAAATGTTATTATATCCCAACACTGGCATTTTCCTGGCACCGTCAAATATTTCATAAAAACAAGTGGAATGGCCCAAAAAAGTATTCTGTTACATCTTCTTGCATACATTTTTTTCTCCTTGTTTGTGGGCCATGAAGGTATGATGATCTCATCTGTGAGAACTATTTTTTCTCCCCACAGATTGCATAAAGCATGCAAATGTTAGAAGCACAAGATGGTTTGTTTGTGTCCTTTTGATCAATCAGCCAGTCCTGTCTGTGCTTCCTGGATGACTGTGCTTTGGTTCGGAAAGGGAAAAGATACTGGTTTTGCACAGAGACATTCTCCGCAAATTCCACACACGAAAAAGAGAGGTCCTCATCTTCATACGAGAGGGAGGAAATCTCGGGGGAAGGAAAGAACTTTCTGACAAGCTGTCTTGACATGTTGGGACGATTCAGCTTGTTGGGAATGAGTAATTTATTTACATTTCTTCCCATCTCTGTCTCCCAAAAACTAAAAGTGTTTCAGTATTTAGTTTAGAGATTAATTTGAAGTCATCTGGATACTGAGGGAACCAGCAAGGAACACATTCATATCCACTGTGAAGGAATGTCCTTTGCCCACAAACCCTCAGGTCCCTCAAGCGTCCTCCAATCTTTCACTAACCACAGCGTTCTTGTTTCCAAAACCGAGGAGCAACGAGAAGTCATTACTTCTTTAATGTAAAGAAAATTGGAATTCTTGTGGTTGGTCAATTCCAACCCCCACTGCTCGGCCCTGTTGCAGTTTGGTGAACCCAAAGGGATTCACAAGACGCTAATCCAAAGCCATACTGTGGTCTTGCCTCAAACCACTGCCACCCACGCACTGGGAGAGGCATTTCATACTTTACTGAGGTATCACCTGGCCTCACAAATTCTTGCTGTGGGTGAAGAATAGAAGCTGCAAAGAGCTGTGGGTTTCAGTCCATGTAAAGCACACTCCTTGATCCTTCCCTTTCATTTTCAAATCTTGAGGTCTACTTATGAGTAGGGATGGTATCGTTTGATCTTTTGGATGACAAATTCCATAATTCTCCATTTGGAGAGTTCTACCTAATAGGCAGACACCTTACATGCCTCTAAACGTGGCTCAGCTGAAACGCCTCAAAGGCTCTAAGGCTTAGCTCGGCCTTAGCTCTTCAGAAGCTTCCTGTTCCTGCCCCACTGCCACCTGGGAGCTTTCTTTCTAAACAGGAAGCCAGGTGGAGACAAGCCTAGCTAAGCTCTACTTTCCAGTTAAGGTCTTTCTCCCAGGTGAGTCACATTTAGGCGTTTGTCTATTCGGTAGAAATCTCAGAATGGATGATTACAGGATCTGTAGTCCGAAAATCCCATCCCTACCTATGAGTTTGTGGATTCCAACAAAATCTATAAAACCTTCAGGGCCATGTCTGATTTGAACCAGCTTTTACAGAGCATAGAGTAGGAAATGAAAATATCCAAACAAATTGCAATTCGTACAAGCCAGATGGCTGAATGTCTTTCCTGCATCAGTTCAATCACCCAAAACAACGCAACAAGGCAACTGTGTTGAGTGGAAATGATTTAAAGACATATCTTTATTGTCTTTCTGACGGAAATGACTACCTAGCAATGTAGGAAGAAAGAACACCTCTCTCGACATATTTTAAACAAGTAAACAGGCTGCGCCAAACTCTTTGTTAAACTGCGTGTCTGACTGAATCTTCAAAAGAATAACAAAGTCGACCGCTGTAAACCAATATTTTTGATTTGACAGCTACAGTTATAACCATTCAGGCATCTATTTCCCACAAACTCTCAACAGCCATAACCTTTAGTGATTAATTATAAAGTTCCAGGAGCAATAGTACACAGACTAATTTCCTAAAACAATAAAAAGACAGAATTTCTCATTTGGAGCGAAATGAAACACAAACAGGTTGTTATTCATGCTGAAATCGAGATGCGGAGTCATGTTGCAGCCATTACAGGAGCTATTAAACACAACCTCAAATCAAAGAAACTGTAGGTCTGTCTCCTTAAAACAAAATGTTTGCCTCACTAAACGTGGCTCCTGGCCTTGGCGGCGTTTGTTGTTCTCCCCCTTTGTTAAGAAGTCACTTTCAAAATTCAATCTTCTTTTATTTCTGTTTTACACCACCGTTTCATGTATTTTTAGCACTCATTTACACTGTAGGAGTTGACACACACACACACACACCACACAAAACCTCACAAAAGCTTGGTAGGAAAAAAATACATATAGACATATAAAGGGTTATGGGTGCTTCCTATGTTCCTAAAACTTTCAGGTAAGTTCTGGCAAAACCGGCTCCCCTTGGCCCTTGATATCCTTCCCTGGTGTAATAACTCACTGTACGGATCACACAGTTAGTTTATCTGTGCTCTCTGTTAAATGATTCTAGCGCTGGTCCTTGTCTGGAAGGAAGACCATCTGGGCCTCTGTATAGGTTGCCTTGAATTCCACAGAAGGAAAATAGGATAAAACTCTAGGCACAAAATGAAGCTTCTCTTGGTCCTCTGTGTCCCATCTGCATTGTGAGGACAACAGTATCCACCAAGAGGATAAACATGCTTTCAACACTTGAAAGGTGCTATAAAACCTGCTCCTGTATTTTTCCATGTAGAAGACTATACTTTTGTCTAAAATCTTTAGACTAAAATTTAAGGGTAGTCGTATACACGGCAGTAAGCTGAGGAGAGAACAAAAATAAGTGGAGGGGAATGCAGGGATCAAATTGTTTCTGCAGGAGCGCTTTGATCCCTGCTTTTCTGTCTGCTTGCTCAGTCCCATGGGGGTTAACAAAAGGAGGTGGGAAAGAATCAAAACAATCCCGCGGCTGTATAAGAGGGAAAGGGATCAAAACGATCATGCAGTTGCGGGAGTGCTTTGATCCCTTTTCCCCTCCTTTTGCTAAGCCCCACAGGGCTTAGCATGAAGGGAGAAAGCAGGGATCAAAGTGATCCTGCAGCGCTTTGATCCCTTTCCCCCTACACTTGCTAAGCCCCAGTTAGATTTCTTAATTCTGAATTAGAAAAATGGGGGCGTCTTATACACAGAAAAATATGGTACCAGCCTTGTACACAATCCTTTTTTCCAGCAAGTGTATGCCTTAATACTGAGAGTACAACAGCAACTTCTTTGTTACAAAAAATAAATAAATAAATCAGTGGGGGCAGGGAGGCATCCATTGCGTGTAGACTTCCAAAATATTATATTTTGCTTTTAAGTTTTGTGGAATGATCTAAATCACATATTCCGCTACTCTAACACTTTTCTATGTGGGACTCCTTCGTAGAATGGCTATTGGAGGCAACCCAAAATAGCAATGATGTGACTATGGAAGGGCTCCTCTTTCCCGTGAGAAAACACCTAGGAGGCAGGATGGTCTCCATTCCATTAAAATAACTCAGAAGCCCTATTCAGGTGTTACGTCCCCTGCTTTTATCCATGGGTTTTTCAGGGAAGTGCCTCTTACCCTTTGCTGTCTCCTTCACCATGGAAAATTGAAAAGGGGAAGCTTCTGGAAAGGGAAGTATCTATATATGTGCAGGATCTATGCATGAACAAGAACTACATGATATCAGCAACTCCACCCAGCTGATGAACCTCCAACTACTAAGAGCCTGAATCTGAGGTTTTTGCTTTCCATTTCCCCAACTCTTTTTTATTTTTTTTTGTCTTGCGTCTTTTTTCAATACTTCATAAACCCAAGAACATGGACCATTTTCTATTTATTTGTTTTTTTAAATGAAACGTAAGCTGCTCTGAGAAGCTTCCCAGCCATACATGTCAATGTTATCCACCCGTCAACTGATTGCTCAAATCCACCTTCCTGGCTTTACCTGCATTGGAGTTTAGGTCTTCGTTCTCTGATTCTGTCCCATTTTGACTCCCGCTTCCTTGAAGGCTGTTCATGGCCATGAGCTTCATCTTCTGTAATTTCATGGCTTCGGCCATTGCCGCTGCTGTGAGACCTAGGCACAAAAAGAGACAGGAAATATGAAATAACTAAAGAGTTTGCCTACTGTATTCCACCATTTCAGCTTATCATTGATTATGTAGTGGAGAGCAGACACTGCCAGCATCTGACATCTTTGAGGAGGATCTAAGACCCTGGTAGAACCTCTGCTCCTGCCTTCTTATACCCTATGGATTTAGAGAAGGACTCATTCTGGGAAGATAGTTAGCTTTAGCCACTCTACGGTTACTCTGGAGTTTCGTTGGACATCAAAACCATGGCCCAACTGTCCAGAATGGACACTTCCATGAAGCCAGTTGGCCAAAGCTCGTTGACAGGAAAGTACGCTTTACCAAAGCACTGTTTTTTAAACAATGGGACAGGTACCACCGGTGGGACACAGAAGTAATCTATGTGGGATCTTGTGCTATCACCGCAGTGATATAGACTTCATGCTCCATCAGTCTCCATGTCCTTCTGCTACTATGATGACCCATTTCTAGGTGACCCTACTTGCCACAGAACCCTACTTTGTCACCATTTGGGCATCCCAATTGTAACTTTGGGCATTTGTGGTCTGCCTAATTCCTTTGTTCATGCTCAATAAAGGATGTAATAAATATCCCTCATATCATGGTGGGTCTTGAGTTCATTGCTAGAGTGACTCGTGGGATATTAGATACGAAAAGTTGAGAACCTCTGCACTCTTGCTTTCAAATTTAGAACATCAGTATTTTGCTAAAAGAATAGTTGGATTACAGGAAGAATTAAAAAAGAGCTGGCATCCTTTACTTTCCATGATCGCCCATTCAGTTATGGTTTTTAGAAGGCTATATGGACCAAATTTGGGCGAAAATTGGAGGCAGATAGCTTGTGCAAAGCTGGGAAGTAAATAGTTACGTAGCTTCCCCCCCCCCCAATTAATTACATTTTGCAAAAATAAAAGAGGAGAGGATACAATGTTTCTGTACATTACAATTGAAATAATGGATATATTTGTTTCCTTTGTGATGCAGCTGTAACTTTATACAGTTATAGGTTGTGTGGCCTCGGAGCCCGAAAAACCCAGAACAACCAATGGATATATTTGTTTCCTTTGTTATGCAGCTGTAACTTTATACAGTTATAGATTGTGTGGCCTCACTAAATAGTGAAGGAGGAGCATGGCACAGTCCATAGGTCTCTGGTTCATGCTGTTGCCCCATGCTATATTGTGAATGCAGTAGAAGAAACAGGGGAGTGTGTGTTTTGTACTAGAGACCAGCTTTTGACACACATGTTTCTAAAATAAAAGTAAATAAAATGTAGCTATTTTAGTTACTTTGGGGAAATTACTTTAAAAGTTATAGTTATAACAGTAACTAATAGTGGATCTTCTCAGACCAATAAGTTTGAAAAATAGCTTTTTCTCTGCCCAAGCCAGGATTTAGACAAAGCCAGCCAGAACATTTAAAATATATTCAAACAATTGGAACAGGTCATGCACTAAAATAGCCAGTCAAAAGCACAATCAGCTAATCCTAAATCTATGCACCGAATATCCTGACATCAGGAATGCAAAGTATGTTGAAGGTAAGTTAATCAAAAATTCCTTATCATAAAGCAAAGGTAAAGCTATAAGGATCCCTCTTGTGGAATGTACTCCACCAGCTAGGCCCCACAGCCGGAAATTATTTAAATTATTTATTTATTTATCATTTATAATAAATAGAACGTGCCTACTATGGGTGGTTTATATAGAACATAAAAGAATAAACTAAGGTAAGATCCAAGTTAATCACAGAGTCCAAGATGGGGAAAGGAAGGGGAGGAGGAGGAGAAGAAGAAGAAGAAGAAGAAGAAGAAGAAGAAGAAGAAGAAGAAGAAGAAGAAGAAGAAGAAGAAGAAGAAGAAGAAAGAGAGAGAGAGAAAAGAAGAGGGAGGCAGGCGAGGTAATGGCTGTAGGGAAGACCTGCCTGTATAGCCATGTCTTCAGATTAGTCTTGAAGGCCCTCGGTGAAGGATCCAGGTGGATCTCTACAGGTAGGTTGTTCCATAGGTGAGAGGGGCCACTGCCGAGAAGGCCCGATTTTTTGGTTTTTTCCCACCTGACCTTTCTTGGCATTAGGCTCTGCAGTCTTTGTGGTGAGAGTCACCCCCCCCCCCAAAAAAAGAGAGGGAGTTCCCCAAACCACTGACATCAGGGCCACCCACCCGCAGGACCTCTGTCTTGTTTGGGTTCAACCTTAGTCCATTTCACTGGTTCTTAACCTTGGGTTACTCAGGAGCTTTGGACTGCAACTCCCAGAAGCCTTCACCACCAACTGTGCTGGCTGGGGTTTCTGGGAGTTGCAGTTCAAAAACATCTGAGTAACAAAGGTTAAGAACCACTGGTCCATTTGACTGCATCCATTGTAGAAAGGCTTCCGGGCAGCACCCAAGTGACGGAACAGCATCCACTGCAGATGGAAAAAAGGAGATCTAGAGCTGGGTGTCATCAGCATATTGGTGACATGAAGCTCCACATCCCTGGATGACACTTCCCCAACGACGTCATATAGATGTTAAACAGCATTGGGGAGATGATCAAACCCTGTGGAATCCCACAATTGAGTAGGTCATCCAGCAGGGTGACCAATGCCGTTGCCGTGCCGTGGCGCAGCCTGAAGTCCGATTGAAATGGATCAAGGGCATCAGTTTCAACCAAGAGAGCCTGAAACTGGTCAGCCGCCACCTTCTCAACTCCCTTGCTAAGGAAAGAAACATAGGTGACGGGCCTATAAAGAGAGAAAAGTTTCTCTCTCTTTAAGCTTCTGCAAAAATAAAAGAAAAACAAACCTAACTATCTTAAATATAGTGCTCAGACAGGACCAGGTGATACCTTTAATCAACCATTAAGAATATTTAAAAAAACAGATTAAAGGTATCACTTTGTCCTGTATTTGTATTGTTTCCACCACTATGTGGCCTTTTCCTGATTATTCCTGAACTGTAAGATAGCACAGAATGGCCGATCAGGGCATCGACTGATGACCGTTGTGAGTTCTCCAACATCATCCACCCCGTAAAACTGTTCATTTGGCTTTAATTTGTCTTAAATGAATTTACATCTGGTGGCTTAACTAAACTCCCAATCCCAACTCTGTTAGGGGCAGATCATGTTCCTGGGCATTCTTAATTCCCCCAGCCAAACAGAAAGGTTCTGAGTTTCAAAAAGGCAGAGAAGTGGGAGTGGGTGGAATCCATAGTGCCTGACCTCTGTTTTAAGAGATAAGCCGTAAACTCCAAACTGCTGGTAGCTGGGAAGGAGCCTGAAAACAACTTGCATACAGCGCTATCACCATCAAAGAAGCAAACCTGGCTTCAACGCCATTAGTTACGTGAATTTGGGGCATTAATAATAACATATAAGTTGGAACTAATCACAAGAACTTGATTTTTATTGAGTATGATATCAAATATAGATAAAGCAAAGGAATGTATAGTTTTATATATATATATATAGTTACTGCAGCTAGAATTCTTTATGCAAAGAATTGGAAAAGTCAGGTGGTACTAAAACAAGAAGATCTTACAGAAATGATAAAGGAAACGGCAGAAATGGACATTTTATCAGAAGTGATGAAGGACTGTCCATTACAAAATGCAACTAAAAGATGGAACTTATTCTACAAATGGTTAGAGTCATCAGAGAGTGCTCAAATAACAGATTAAAATGTGAACTAAAATATGGAAGGCAGAAAATAGTAGAATAGCGAAGTTTGAATCTTGATATTGCAGTATGAATAGAATCAATGTTAGTATATTTTTGTTTCTCTTCCCCCCTAACCCCAATCCTTTTCCCCCTCTTACCTTCTGTATCCCATACCCCAACCCAAGTTATCCAAATAATAAAATTAAAATTAAAAAAAGAGAACTTGATGCACAACTGTATAGCTACTGCAGCTAGAATTCTTTACGCAAAGAATTGGAAAAGTCGGGTGGTGCTAAAACAAGAAGATCTTACGGAAATGATAAAGGAAACGGCAGAAATGGACATTTTATCAGAAGTGATGAAGGACTATCCATTACAAAAGGCAACAAAAAGATGGGGTTTATTCCATAAATGGTTAATCATCAGCTAGTGCTCGAATAACATAGATCTAAATGTGAACTAAAATATGGAAGGCAGAAAATAGTAGAACAGCTGAGCTTGAATTTTGATATTGCAATATGAATAGAATGGATTTTAGTATATTTTCGTTCCTCCTCTCCCCCTAACCCAAATCGTCTTCCCTTCCTTTTTACCTTCTGTATCCCATACCCTAACCCAAGTTATCCAAATAATAAAAATAAAATTTTAAAAAGAGAACTTGATGCACAACCTTGAAGATGTTTTGTCATCGAAAGGTTGCTGTTTATCTTTTGTTCTCTTATTTAAATATATATATTCTTGATGGTCGATTAAAAGCATTACCTGTTCCTGTATTTGTATTGTTTCCATGACCATGTGGGCTTTTCTTGATTTTTTCCATAAATATAGCACATTTTTTATTGACCAACTATGTATTTTAACAAGGATACAAAAAACATTCCCTGGCAGCAACCAGAAAAAGAACTTACAGGGTGATGTAGCCTATCAGCAATCCATTAAGACAAATTAACAAGAAGAAATTTCAGCCTACTTCACATGGATCTTGGTACAGTAATAAAAACAGTCCGAACAGATGTAGGTTGTGAAAAAAAGTAATTAAATGGAAGGATATTAATTGACAACAGAAATGGACAGATGCAATCTAGAAGGAATGGTGGTTTGTTGCCCTAAGGCTTTGGACGCATGGGAGACTCTGCTCAGTTATTAATATTTTTTCCATCAGAGCCCAAATGCATGTCCACTGGTATCATAATTTTTCAGTCCAGGAAGTAAGAAGCAAAGCTGCCCAGAGAGTAATAACACTAGTAGGAAACTACAGAAATGAATGAATGAATGAATGAATGAATGAATGAATGAATGAATGAATGAATGAATGAATGAATGAATGAATTTTAGGCAGTGTT